CGGTTGAAGGGTGAGTTTGCTATGACAGATATGGGGGACCTACATTTCTTTCTCGGGATCAATGTTCAGCACACCTCCCGTGGCTTGTTCCTGACACAAACTCAGTTTCTCTATGATATTCTTGATCGAGCGGGCATGCTCAACTGTAAACCGGTTTCCACTCCGGTTGATACACGCGGGAAACTGTCAGCTTCAGGAGGAACACCAACGCCAGATCCCTCTCTTTACCGCTCCATTGTGGGAGCCCTACAGTACCTCACCTTCACTCGTCCTGACATCACTTATGCCGTGCAGCAGCTCTGTCTCTTCCTACATGATCCACGCACGCCCCATGTCACGGCCATGAAGCGGGTTTTGCGATACCTTCATGGCACACCATCACATGGCATCTCCATCTCCAGATCTCACACAGACCAGATGCGGGCCTATTCTGATGCCGATTGGGCCGGCTGCCCTAACACCCGCCGGTCCACTTCCGGCTACAGCATATTCCTTGGCGATAATCTCATTTCCTGGTCTTCTAAGCGCCAGCTCACCACGTCCAGATCTAGTGCCGAGGCAGAATATCGAGCAGTAGCCAACGCCGTAGCTGAAGTCAGCTAGATACGTAATCTTCTCCTCGAGCTCCAGCAACCACTCAGTCGAAGTAGCCACGCGGTCTCTACCTCTCTGCAAATCCTGTTAAGCATCAGCGCACGAAGCACATCGAGGTTGACATACACTTCGTTAGAGACCGCGTGGCTCTCGGATAGGTCCGCGTACTACATGTCCCTTCGTCTCTCCAGTATGCTGATATCTTCACGAAGGGTCTTCCATCCATCATTTTTTCAGAATTCCGGGATTGCTTGGGCGTTCGGCGTTCTGCACCAGTGCCGTTGGGAGCATGTTAAATATATTAAGTATATATTTAGTATCTTGTGTATATAGTAGTTTCCATACATGTATAGTCCTTATTAATTAAGGATTCCTAACATAGTAGGTTTCCTATTATAACTAGGACTACTCTACTATATAATATCCCTTGTATTCCCACATTATGATTATTGGAATATGTCAATTCTTCAATATGACACCAGACGAGATCTACAGATCTACACTCGGTGGATATGATGCTAAGAATTGTGTTCACAATGTTGCAAATCTTGCACGGAGCCTCCTACAAATGCACGTAAGTCCGGCGAGACATGCTAGCACGAGCCTAATGTGGGATCTTCGTGATGTTGAGATAAGGAACGAATGATGAGCTCATTGTGGGACCCTCAATGCAGGGGAAATTACAATGTCATATGGGTTGGAGTGGCTAACAATTTTTGCGATCACATGTTGGTGGGTTCGGAAATGGAGGAACGAATATGTCATCAACAATGATGAACATTACGATGAGAGTAGAGTCAACTAGATTATGTCTCAAAATATGGAGATGGTGAGAGCATTCAAGAGCTAAAACGTCATTGAGAAGCCATTAGATGAGGAACATTCTCGGGTAAAATGGCTTAAACTGAATGTTGACCCGACATGTTTAAATGTGGATGCGAGTGTGGAATCTAATGATACAAGCTATGGAGGGGTATTAAAAGGGCATGGGGGGAACTAGATAAGGTCCTGTTCTCTTCAACTTATTTCAAATACTTAATGCTTATTCTTATTAAAATCAGATCAGATTTATTTAGATCAAATCAGATGCACTCAGATCAGTTCAAATCAAATCAGATTCATTAAGTTCAGACCAAATCCATTCAAGTTAGAAAATTATTTTAAAAATAAATAGTTTTTAAAATAATAATTATAATAATAACAATAGTAATTAATAATCTTAATGATTAAAATAATCCTAATCATTATCATTATTATTAACTAATAATAAAAAATAATAATGATAATAAAAATTAATAATAATATTTATTTTTAAATATAATAATAATAGTTATTAATCTTATTGTTAACTAATAACAATAATAAAATTTAATAATAATTATAATTAATAAGGATAATAATCATCATTAATCATAACACTTAATAATAATAATAATAATAATAAATAATTATTATAATTATTAAAATAATAATGATAATAGTTAATAATTACAATTATAATTATTAATAAAAAATTATTATTGTAAATATTATTAATAATAATCATTAATAAAAATTAATAATAAATTATTGTTTTTATAAATATAATAATAATAATAATAATTCTAATTATTTGAATTTGAATTAGATCCATTCAAATCAAATCCATTTAGATCATACGAGAATCCTTTAGATCACAGATCAACCTTAAATTATTCAGTTTAGATCACTCGAAGAAAACACATCCTAAATCTTGAGTAATTTTAAAAGGCCTCTTTTGGGTGTGGAAGAAAGGCATTCGTTTGCAAGTTTTCAATCTAATGCGACTCTATGAAATGTGTGGAATGGATTCAAGGTAAAAACACAACAAGGGGTCTTGAAAATAATATCATTGAGGCATGCCAGAGTTGGATAAGGAAGGAGTGGGAGGTTCATATCTATCAAGTACTTAGAGAGTAAAACAGAGTCGCAGATGCACTTGCTAAAATGGGGAAGGACATATGGGTGAGTTGGAGAGACTTCAGTGTTTCACCGGGGAGTCTCCGCCGATTTGTGCAGGTGGAAGAACTGGGCTGTTACTGGTCTAGACATGTGCTAAGGAGCCACCTCTCTCGAGGTTCGAAGTTTCACGGTTTCATCCCTCCGTTTTGATCTAAAAAATTAAATTAAATTACTTAAAAAATGGTATGGAGTTAGGGGTTGAAAAAACTGAATAAGCATGGTACCATACTGGATCGTAATAGTACCAAACCGTTTATAATGTTTTTAAACGAGTTTGATTTTTTTCATCACAAACTAAAACCGAACCGATATCAAGCGAGACGGGACTATGATATAAATATTTAAAACCGATTATCACGGACCGAACCGTTCCAAGCTTTTTTACGGAGTATCTCAAATAATTACGCAGTGTTTATCGGTTTCATCTTACCGTATATAGAGTACTTCGTATTGTATTATTCATTTTTTATTTCTTTCATTATTATTTTTGTTATTATATGCATTACTACTATTTGCATTGTTTTTAGAGTTATAATAGTTCGATATTATATTAATTGAAAAAAAACTACTCGGGTATTTTTTAAAGTTTAGGCTCGTTATCTTTTATTCTTTATGTTTATAATTCTTTTAGATTCGAAATCAATACTTATATTTAACAAAGTCGTGCTTTTTTATTAAAAAAATTCTTATTTCAATATTCTTTGAGTAATGTATGTTTATTTTTTTTAACACGGTTTAAGCATGAGTATGATATGATATCATTCCATTTCAAAATAGAATGATATCAAATAGTTTTGGGATTCATTCCGTACTAAAATCAAACTGTCTAAATAAGAGTAGTTCGTGATAAGTTCAGGTAGTATGACGATTCACGAACTATCACGGAGAGAGCCCACCTCTATATGGAGTGTCACTCTAAAGTCTAAACACCCTCTAAAAGTTAACCAAATGTGCTGGTTATCCTGGCCCAATTTATTACTGGGCTGGCTTCTTTAGAGCCAGCTTTTTTCTGATGTTTCAATTTTACTCAGTCACAAACATCTATTGCTCGACTAGTCGACGTTGAGAAACCCGAAAGCTTGTTCTCTGCGCGAATGGCTTCACCGACGGATCCCAAGATCCAAACTGAGCAGTGAGTAAGCCACCCCGATTCAAACAAAATGTTTTGATTTCTGAGTGAATTCATGAATCCGATGTGTTTTCCTTGTCTGATCTGAAGGAAAATGGTAAGGACTCAAAGGAAGCCCCCATTTATGATGCTGCTCCCTTTGGTATACGCTCCTGTTCTTCCTCTTAGTAAGTTTCCATGCATCTTGTCATCAAAATTCTGTATTCATACTGTTTCTTTCTTCAATTTAGATTCAATTTTCACACTTAATTTGAATTCCGATTACTTCTATTAAAATGTCAGTAATTCCATGAGCAATACACCCACCAAATGTCCAGTATTGATGAAATTTTGCTTTTCCAGTTCGAATTTCGTTGCGGCACAACCCTGTTGTGAGGGATAGGCTGTTCTATGGCGTTCTCGCTGGGGCATTTGCTCATGGACTCTACTTAATGTATCCCTTATGGCCTTATTTCTTATTTTCATGCGATTTCTTATTTGCATATCTAGAATTATTGGGATGTGTTTGCTTGTGCATCATATACTGCATATGCTTTGTCTGTGGGTATAACTGAACTTGTGCATGTAGTTAAAGTTGGATCTTGAATATTCTTCCCTAAAATTCCAAGTAGTTTACATTCCATTATCTTCTCTCCCCATCTGCTTAGTAGAGTAACATGCATTTTTAAAGGGTATTAGTGTAGTTTCATTCTCTAGGTGGGGCTGTGGACTGTTGGGTGTGAGATATTAGGACTCGTTTGTGTGGTTTCAATCCCAAACCCATTCCTTGTGTTTGATTACAAAGATTACCACCAGACCCATTTCCTAACTTCCGTCAAACTCATTCCCACATCACTGCTTCTTCGGCTGTGACCCACAAGCCAAGGGAAGGCAGAAGACTGCGTTGGCGAGGGTAAGAAGATGACTACCGTAGGTTAACCTAAAACGACAATGCCCCCATCTTTGGAGGAGATTAAAACCCTACTATTATTTTCTTGTACAAAGCAAATACTAGATATTTATCTATCACATTTAAACCTGTATTTTAATACTATTTTGAATTCGGCCCAGTACTGTACCTGAATCATAACCAAAAAGGCCATTTAGGTATTCACATCAACAGTGGGGAAACATTGTACTTATGTTAGAACTGCAGGCTAACTATACTTGGTGTGTCTCATATTTTAATATTACTGCAATTGAATAATGAGGGAATGATCGGAAGACCAAGCATAGTTCTCTTCTGTAGATAACTTCTGTTGTGCTTGATTGAAATACTATTTGCATAGTTGTGGAGGACGGAATCGTGCTTGTTTAGGTGCTTCAGTTGGGTTTGTATAATTTTGCTATTGTAGATCAATAAGCGCATATAACACCATGTGCTTATATCCTTATAGACGGCCAACATATCACATCATCAATGAGGAAATCCTAAGGTCCTTCTGGAGCTATTTCCTCGACAGGAGTTCCCTCCAACATGTATTTGTTAGTAATAACTGACAAATCTAGGGTGTGACAAGAGTTGTAATAATGTTTTTTTGTGAGAATAAAGTATTAAAGAGAAGTAAAGAATGAATAGCAAACGTATATTGAGGAGACAAAAATTTATGTAATTACTCCAACAAATTCACCATTTTGCATAAATACTCTCAGATTGCATAATTGTCATAGCTACTCTTAGAATATTAACAATTTCATGCCACACCAGTCAAAGGAAAATTACACTTCCGAAATGTAGATGTTCAGTGAAAGGTGGAGTAGCGGCATGAAATTGCTAATATTCTGTGAGCAACCATGACAGTTCTGCAATCTGGGGGTTTATTTCATATGCAAAATCGTGAGTTTTAGGAGTAATTGCATGAAAGTTTTCCCAAAGTAGAACACAATGATGTATCCTGGTTCAACATATCTTGTGCCTAGTTTAGTCCCCAAGCGAGTCACTTGAAGTTTTACCAATACTTCAAGCTTAACCGAGTACATGCATATTCCAACAGTATTGGATCAAGTAGAGGAAATCCACACATTTATAGCCTGTCACGATTCTCCTAGTCTTACATGTGGCGCTCAAGTACCTAGGATTTTGTAACAATCACTAACTCTTGGTCCTTCTACATTTTGCTTCATGATCAGGTAAGAGACTGCAAGAATAGAGTTGTGATCTATTTCAATTTTTCAAGTCTGTGTACAAAAGAAAATACCCCTTCCCTTATACCTTATAACTTTCCCATGACACTATCCACTATCCCGATTCCCGATATTTCAATACTGGCTCCTTTAATTGATTGGCACACAACAGCACTTTCAGTTCAGTTGAGTTTCTTTGTATAGACTCTAGGGGTCAACTGTCCACTGCACAAGCATAATGCTGGAGTCATGGTATGGTTCTTGAACATGACGAGCATGCTTTGATGATCCAGACTTGTCCTGTTCTGGATTGAAATATCATTGTAGAAAACCAAAGCAAACTTATGGAGGTACGATCCAAAAATGTTGTTCCAGAAACCTTGGGAGGTAGAAGAGATATTAGAGAGGCCAAATGGCATAACTAGAACTTCAAAAGTTTTCATGATGTGTTTGAAATGAATTCTTCTAAAAAATCTCGGGTGTCATTCAAATCAGATGGTAACTAGAACACACATCTTGTTTGGTGAATAATTTTGCTTTGTGAAATTCTTCCAGTAGCTCATCAAGCACTAGAATGTGGTACTTCTCTATAACAGTCTTTGCTTTGAGCTCCTTGTAGTCCACATACACACTAGGAGGAAATATCTTACTAAATGTACCGCCAACAAAACAAGTGTCTGGGTTGAATGATGCCTTGATTTGACACATGAAAGTAGGAAGAGCGGTAAGGCTGCAATGCAACTAGTTCGACACAGGCAGTAAGGTGATGTGGCAGTAACACGGATATGGAGGAGGCAACCCCACTGGCATGTCGAACGAATCCCCTGAGTGCGTGTGTAAGCTGTCAAAATAGAGCCTGCCTGTCTTTGGCCAAACTAACAGCAATGGTTAAAACCCCTCTGGATCCCACCCAGCCATCATAGCCGATTTACCCTTAAAGTCATATCAAAACCTGCAAAGGGTAGAACTAAAACATCCGCTTCAAAGTGTATGCTGTGAACCTCCAAATTGAGTCAAGGACAGCTGCTCAAGAAGGAAATCTGTTCACCAAGTAACGATCACAATTAAACAAGAGCCCTGGCGTCGTTGACTCCTGAAGCTCTTTGCAAAAAGATTCCCCCCGACATTTGCTCTCAGCTTTGTAAAACTCGACAAAAAACAACTGTATATAACAGTGGCCCTGTGCCCTTTGCTCACCATGATTGTATCAGAGGCCCTTTCTCTTGCTAGCTGCTGCTTCTGTGTGTGTCAACTTCCAAGGGGTGATAAGGATGAGATGCATCATTCAGTCCTGTAGATCGGGGTGGTTGCAGTTGGATGGTAGTAGTGGAGGCTGGCCTGTATGAACAGGCTGGTGTGTGTGGCTGTGAAGTGAGAAGTGGCCTTTGAGGGGAGTTGAGTCTTGTGGGTTACTCATTATGCAGGCATGAGTCATGCTAGAGAACCCCTGATGTGACACCACCTTTGACACCATAGTGTCTTTCAAAAATACACAGTTTCCGCACATGTGGGCGTGCAAGACACTATGGGGTGTCAAAGGTGGTGCCAATTGCAGGGCTTTCCCATCTTTTCTAATGCAAAGCATTGTGAAACGCATTGCAACCAATATGCTATTTGAAAGAAAATTGGTGTTTTTCCAGGGTTTATTTGAACATTTTACTAGGAACACCATCAAAGACAGGCTTGTACACTAGAAATGTTTCTGAGAATGAAGGGCTGCCCATCTTACTTAAGAGTGGAACCTCAATCATATTAATACGTAATACTGTGTACTCCGTATTCCACAATAAATAGGAGTGTCTCTTTACCTGTTTATACCAGGAAACAATATTATTATTAGTTACAAACAACAACCCAGTTGGATCCTACGAGTGCACGCAGACCTTGCCCTTCCTCGAAAGTATAGACAATATTTTGATTAGTTCTGGATGGGAAATTTAAATAGATGGTGCATATAAAAAGAATGTCATCACGGATTGTTGTGACCATCTATCTATTTGAATGCTTTCTCTTGTCTGCTTCCTTAACATAACCATGTCCAGATCAGAGCTCTATGATGTTGAGAGCAAGTGAAGCTTTGAAGTCTGTGCCCAGAGGATTTGATTTCTTGGTAGCCTCCTCATTTTGAAAAATTATTGTTATTATTATTATCGTTGTTGAAATAATAAACATTATGCAGCATGGGAATATTGTTGAAGGATTCCTTTTTAAAGGCATGAGCTGCTTCCCATTCTAATGGTTTGGTGTTTTCACCTATAGAATTATTTAGCTGTTTGCATGTGGTACGATGTTAGCTCGTCATTTACAAAGGGGCAGCCTGTGTTCCTGACTTCCTCCTGGTAAATACTCCCTCCGTCCCGTTTTAAATCGTCTGTTTTGACTTTTGGGCATATTTAAAGAAAATAAAAAATAGAGTTGATTTTCCGAAACTGTCATTACTTTTTAGAAGGGGTGACGATGAATGAGAAGATAAGGTAGAGAAGAGTGACTTATTTTAGGGGTAGTTTAGGTATTTTACTCATGAAAGTTTACGATAACAAGTAACCGACAATTTATTTTGGGACGGAGAAAAAAGACAAACAAACAATTTAAAATGAGACAGAGGGAGTAGTTCTCAATGCAGCATATTCGCCTCATGGCACCGTCCTTTAGTTAGTGATCATGTTTGATTGGACGACCCGCTCGGACTTGTTCCTTTTTCGGTCTGGTTCTTGGTCTTCCCATTTTTCTTATTCGTCTTTTGGGTCAGTCCAATTCGATCCTTAAAATTATTACTATTATCTCGATAAGATATGTTTCTCTAATTAATTTTATGGGAAAAATACAAAAATGGTACTAAAACAATGCAAGTTTCCCAATATAGGAGTAGTACTACCATAAACCTTTTTTTAATTACGTCAGCAACACCAATTGACTAATATAACCCGAACTTTTATGTGATTGAATTTCAAGAATTGATCTGGGCATTTAACACTCTTCCGCGACTGAATTCTGAGATTCTAGCGGGCACTGAACACTTTTGGAAAACAAGTGGACATTGAATTTCGAAAATCCAGTAGACATTGAATTTCGAAAATCCAGCGGCCTATCTAGGTCTATAGCCAGAGAGAGAGAGAGAGAGAAAGAGAGAGAGCCGCGCTAAAGATTATCGCCGCTCACTATTGATGTTACAATGTTCATTGCCGATGCTACAATGTTCAGTTTGCCGTCGCCCACTGCCGATGTCACAATGTCCACCGTCAATGTTATCATAGTTGCCGCCCACCGCCGATGTCAAAATGTCCACTTTGTCACCGACTACCGTCGATTTCACAATGTCCACCGTCGATGTTACAATGTCTATCTTGCGACAATCTACCACTGATGTCACAATGCCTACCATCGATGTTAAAATGTCCACCTTGTCGTACCCCATCACCGATGTCACAATGACCTCTATCTAGTTGAATAATGCCCTAGTATAATACGTATGTTAATGCCCTTGGATTCATCACAGAGACATTGTGTCAATTTTCAATGTCGATTTGTTTCCATCAATGTCTTTGGTTCTTCAGATCTATACATCGAGTTGCCGGATTTGAATCACGAAGAAAAATTGTGGATGATCCTGTTCGATCAAAGAAGACGGTGAAAGGCAAGAATTGAGTTGTGTAAGAAAATGGAAAGAAATCTAGAGTTTGAGAGAGACGAGCCTGATTTGATTTAGGCATGGGGAATGAGAGGCTAAAAAGGGGAAGTCAAGTTGAAAAAGGTACTATTCAAGGAATAAATGATAATTAGTACCATAATGGGAAAAGTAATGACTTTTAGTATTATCCGTAGCAAATCTGACTTAATTTTATATCATAATATTTGAATTTTTTCCTTGTGCCCCATCCATCCCGATTTCATCAATGCTGGTTTCCCAAAAGAATTACTTTATTTTTCTAATAAAGTACTCTCTCTGTCCACATATTAACTACAAATTAATTTCCTAGTTACTATGGAATTTTCGAGAACTTTTATGGAGTATTTATTTGAGTTTTCATTGATAATTTAATAATGTAAGATATTTTTATCACTTCTTGATTTATAAAACTTTTGATATACTTTTCAAATATGAAGTGAATTTGTAGACATAGGGAGTAAAAGCTGTGGTTAATACTATTTTTCTTTCTTGTAAATAAATTTTTGTTTTGGTGTTTTATTGTCTTTATTACAATATTGTATTTGTTCATTCTTTCTCAATCAAATACTGCATAATGAGTCAATGCCTTTGCCTTCGTTGGGAATCGAACTTGGGTGATTGAATCTTGAATCTTGGAGAGTAGACTTCTTGTCATTCAAGCCAAGAAGGTATATTGGATGTTATATTGATTAAGAAATCAGAATTCTATTTAAAGTTATATTTTGTTTTTTATCATAAATTACTATGTATTTTAGAAAAAGTTTAATTTAAAATAATATCACTTTTGATGGGATTTAATGATTTTATAGTTTAATGTATGAAAATATTAAATATATTAATTTTAGTTGCATATATACACATAAGAGCACTAGAACTAAACGTTATGTCGGGGGCTTCATCGCTTGTTTAATGCCGTTATGGCGTTAAACACCTACCCTTTTGTGTGTTATGCATGCGTCATCAAGTTTGCATTAAACGTTTAATGCATTGATTTTGCCTCAAAAATAACCGTTGCCACCCCTCCCCAACGGTCTAAATTTAGTTTGTTGGCCATTTAAAAATATCAAATTTTTAACCATAAATACCCTCTCAAAAAATACAAATACACACCCACTCTTTACAACTCATCCAAAAAATATTCTATATTTTCAATTCGCTCCACAATTGACCCAACAAATATCCTATATTTTTAAAAATGGGATCATCTTCATTTGACGATGAGACAAGACCTGTCATGTTTTGTTCTTTCTCAGCGGGCTGTTACCACTGGTGGCAACAAGCACAACAAGAGGAAGCAGGATCGTCCTAGCGCTCGACCTGACATGAGCGTTTAAATCGTGATCAGGCGGCTGCACACGAAGCACTACTCAACAACTACTTCAATACTCCATGCTTTTACACACCAGAGGATTTTAGCAACCATTTTTGGATGAGCCGTTCTTTGTTTTTATGAATACTCATCGATATTGAGCGCGAGGTGCTTAGGTTCACCCAATAGTTTGATGTGAGAGGTCGATGCGATTTTAGCAGCGTCCAAAAGTTATCAGCTGCGCTTTGTCAGATGGCGTATTAGTGATATGTTTGATAAATACTTGAAGATGTCGGCTCAAAACATCTGGTCATGTGTTTATAAATATGGTATTTTTGGAAGACTGGATTAAAATTAGAAATGGAAATTTTATTGCTGGACAAAGATAAATGAAATATAGGAACTTTATTTCCGAAGGGAGTGAGTACTTATGATATAGTAGAATAATAGCTTTCTTTTCCTTTCTTTCTTATCCTCATTCTTTCTTCTCTCTCTTCTGCTTCTCTTCCCATCTTAGCTCTTGCTTTCTTTTCTTCTTCTCACTCTTTCTTTGCTTCTCTTTCTGCATCTCTTCTTCTTCTCCTTCGTCTTCTTCTTTTTTTCCTCATCTTCCTCTCCCCTCTTTCTTCTAGATCTAAATAGGTTTGCAGTCACTATCCGCCTCTTCTTCTTCCTTTCCTCTTCTACTTCTCTTTCCTCCAGATATATGATAGTGGGGCATGGCGGCGATGAAGGGATTGGAGGTTGTGGGGATGGCAGCAATGAGGACTGGCGGAGGTGGGCTTGGTGATTATGGTGGGGGATGACGCTGATGGGGGGCTGGTAGTGGCAAGGTGCCCCCAAAGATGGTGGGGTTGGCAACGATGGTTGGGTTGGTGGTTGTGATGGGGGATGGCGGTGATGGGGGACTGGCGGAGATGGTGGGGTTGGCAGCGGTCGTGGGGTTGGTGATTGTGGTCGGGGATCGCGGTGATGGAGGGCTGGCGGTGACGAGGTGATGGCGGAGATGGTGGGGTTGGAAGCGGTGGTGGGATTGGTTGTTGTGCTGGGTATGGCGACGATGGGCTGGCGTGGATACAGGCTGAGCAGAAATTCGGAGTGTGGTGGGCCAGCAGGGCGAAAGGTATTTTGGACCATTTCACTTCATAGTCAACCATCAATAAAAATGACTAAAAGTCAATACGGGAACTTTGGGAGTACTTACATAAGCCGGTTACGAGCAGTAATATTGAACCACTACAGGCAAGGTATGCTGCTAAGCACAACTTTGTCGGCATCCTTGGGGAGCATCGATTGCACGCGTTGTGAATGAAAAAAATTGTCCCAACTGCATGACATGGTCAGTTCTCCCAGGGTGATAGATCATTGTAAACCTACGAAGAAAAAAGACGAAAAAATCGCCAAGAAATTCAAAGCCTAGAGATTCACGATGCACTAACGGTAGATTTGATTGAACATATTTTTAGTCATTCAAAATATCATTAATGTAATTTTTAAGTGTTTTTAGTTGTTCAAGTAATGTAATTTTATTTATGTTGTTAATATTAATTTTTTTTAAACTTAATTTTTTTTATTTAATGAATTATTGTAGTTTAAATTTAATTAAATAATAAATAATAAAATCTTATTAATTTACTTAAATAAAATTTGTATCACAAATGAAAAAAATAATGGTTTGAAATCCTGAGGTTTAAACTCATTTCCCGTGAAATTGTGAGGTAAGTTAAAAGATGGTTAAAGCTGATGTGACATAGAAGATGTTTGAACTCTAGCTTTGAAGCCCGAGGCTTCAAAAGTATTTCCACTGCCCTAATCTTAAGTGTAATGTTTGTACCTTCTCGAGTCTCATTGCACAAAGAACTTAATACCTTCCTTATTTATATATATCTCAAATATTTGGATTTGGTAATGATATAAGCTTAATCGTTGAACTTTTTTTTAAAATATCATCGATGTAATTATAATATTAGGAAACAAAGTCGGGGAGACTGTTTACATACCCCGGAATAAATTTGATACTATCAGATCTTGAATTACCATTGACGTTTCAAAGAAGATAATTCTCAATAGTTTATGTTTTGCTATGACTATTAAAAAGTCTAGATCAAACATTATCATTTGTTAAGTTATTTTTTATCAAGTCGGCATTAACTTACAATTAACTTTATCTTGATACACGAGTGAAAGCAAATACTGGACTAAAAGTTTTAGTTTTAGATGGTAATCCTTGGAACTTCACCAAAATCATATACCCTGACATTTTTAGAAGAAAATGGATTTAGACAAGGCTTTGACATATTAATAACCAAATTTTTACAATAGAATTTTCATTAGCAAATATTACGAGTATATGTTATATCGTTCCTTTAATTTTTATATTGATTTTATATTTTGTTTGATTATTTAATAGTGCTACAATGAGGAAAATTTGCAGATAAAAAATTGTTCTATCTCATGAATGATGTGAGTCAAAATACTAATATTTTATAAATGTTAATCTAAAAAAAGATTAGAAATAGGATTTAACTAGTTTTCTACCCCGTGCTACGCACGGGCTTGTTATTAGGGCTCGTTATCATAATGTTATTGAGGTGATGGTTGAAAACGGAGGGTTTGGTTTATGATTTGATTTTCTTCCGTCCTACGCTTGGGCATGTGTTAAAGGGTTGTGTATGTTTTGGTTTTGTAGGATTTTGAAATACTACATTGTATTCTTTTGTTTTATGGAATGTGAAGAGTGATATATAATTGTATTTTGGGATTTTTTAAATTTGATGTTGGTGGTTGAAGAAATTCATTTTTTTGTAATGATTTTATATGTTCGTTTTGGCGTTGTACTAGTTGATGTTCGTTTTGGCGTTTTGATGTTTGTTGGGGTAAGATGACGACTGGGCGTCTACACCAGTTACCATTGAAGCGAGGATCGCGAAGGACGAACATCAATGCTTAGTGTTTGTACACGTTGGCGTACATGTTGGCGTTTAATGTTTGAGGTTTGTACACGTTGGTGTTTAATGCCATGTCACGTATGACACGTGTCAACACTACAACCATTAAACTCTCCTTTACATATATATATATATATATATATATATATATATATATATATATATATATATATATATATATATATATATATATATATATATATATATATATATATATATATATATATATATATATATATATGATAGGATTTGTAAGCATCACGACACGCCTCACAAATACACCCCAAACTTAAAACTAACATGTCTCCCAAAATCAAGAACGTATGTGGAGGCGAAGGTAATGAGAGATCGTTTCAAAACATTTGAGTGAACACAATATACTACTCCCCGAGTGTGTGTTTAATATTCTCATTTGACTTTACACGGTATCCAATAACACCAAAAAACTGATGCTAGGTACCTTATATTTTTAAATAATGACTGTGGGGTAGCTCTAGTTTTTAAAATATACTACGAGGTATCCTAAAATATTGAAAAA